ATAGTTTCATCCGAATCCAATTTTAGGGTCAGCGTTTGAAAGAATTTGTTCTTCTTTTTTTTTTTGGGAAATGACTTATGACATTTTCTACTAAGTTTAATAAAGAAAATTATGAATGAATGTTCTCCAATTAATTAAAAAATATCATAATCAAAAACTCCCTCCATTTCATTTTGTTTAACATTTTAACAATTTTTATTTATTTTAATTTTATTATCGTTTTACAATATGAATACAGTATTATATTCTTTTTTATATCTCTAGTCATTATTATTACATTTTTTAATTATTGGTGAGAATTAAAAAGTTTAACTTTTTTTTTCGTCCCTGAAATATTCAGGACCAATAGCAGTGACTAATCTTCTCGCTAAGTTGAAGGCACCTCAAAGGATGAGATAGTTGGCCCCAAGATTTAACGCGGCTGCATACACAAAACATGATTTGAACCCCTGACCTTACTTAAGTGTGAATCAACCTCTACCGCTGAACTACACGGTTGGGACAAATTTCATTATAACTACATGATTTAATTTATGAAACTAAACATATTAATGGCCCCAAGATTTAACGCGGCTGCATACACAAAACATGATTTGAACCCCTGACCTTACTTAAGTGTGAATCAACCTCTACCGCTGAACTACACGGTTGGGACAAATTTCATTATAACTACATGATTTAATTTATGAAACCAAACATATTAATTGTATTGGTTAAATCTCAATAACAAACTCTTAAACCTTAAACCTAAAACAAATCAAAATAAAACAGAGTATTTCATTAACTCATTTACTCAAATAAGTTCGATATATAAAATATGAGACAAGATCTTGGTACCTGCTTTTGTTGTCTGAATCTGGTTTTAGGGTATAAAAATCAATTTTGACCGCAGCGAGTTGTTATTAACACCGTTGACCATGTAATGAAATTTGTGTTTACCTTTACTTTTAATCGTTCATATCACTTTCCAAAATTAATTGTCACATTCTGTCCATAACAATAAAAACATTTCTGTTATATGTTATTTGTCCTTACTTTTAATTATCTGATTTATCTCCCTCAGCATTTCTGTTGTAAATTGATGTGTGTAATCTTTTTTTTTTTCATACATATACTTAAAAAAAATAATTTTATTATAATAAGACTATGATGAAAAACCAATTTTCACTTCTAAATATTTAATGAAATTACATGTTAAGGACAACCGGTATTGTAAATATGTTCCTTATAATTTAATTTAAATTTTTTATTTAAATGTTATTTTAACTAATCAAATTAACAATTTTGAAATTTTAACCATATAAGAGTGTTAACAAACACTTTGACCAAAGAAAGACTATAAAAGATAATTAAATGTAACTCTACGAGAAAAACGGAACCTTCGAAAGAGTAAACTATAAAATATAGATGAACATTTATATATTTCTAAATAAATTAAACCAACAAAACTAAAATGCAACCATTAAAGTCTTATTGAGTCAATTTAGTTGTTGTAAATACACGAGTTTGACTTCAAACACAACACTCTATGATCTCTTTCCAATTTTCCCACCCTTTTCTTATAGTTTTTTTTTTTTCTTCTTTTCATAGATGAGATTGGATTGAATGTGACTCACATCACAGACGACATAGTAATATGGTTAAGGAGATGGATATCTAAAAAATGTGTGTTATCATTTTCTTTGACAAAATGGCACCGAATTCAACATGGTTAGCCGCCAACCCCGTTTTTCTTGACATTCACATTGTATAATAATTCTACTATCAACTTATAACCTAATCAACGCCACGACTAGGAAAATTATATGGTATAAATTATTGGTATCGGTGGTGTGATAAAGTTAGAGGTCCAACTTCTAAAGTGCAACTTTTCCAAGTCGCACCATTTATATTATATGTATATAAAAGGATGAAACATGGTGCAACTTTTGACGTCTATCTTTGATTTTTAATCCAAATTCATATAATCAATGGCGTCAAGAATCTAAAATTCCCCCCAACACGATTCTCCCAACACATAAAAACTTATTTGTTTTAGTTACATGCATGAATGTGTACTTGATCTTGCGAAGAGTTTTGGTATATTGTAGTGGTTCAAGTACTCCTGTACTGTGATAGTTTTCGTGAAATCATGTTTGGAGCTTCAAATTTGAGTTTGTGAAATATGAAAAATTCCCCGAAACATGTATAAAAGGGGGAAAAGAAATTAAACATACATTTCAAGCCATGAAATTTGTTGTGGCAAGTGAGTTGACCTTCGAAATAGTACTCTGAATTGAAGTTTGATAGAACTTTGAATCATATCCATTATGCATTAATTAGGGTTTTCAACATGTAAATTATTTAATAAGGTTCTGTTTAGTGGAGTTTTAAAAGCATTTGTTAAAACAAAAAATATATAATATTTAGTAGTAGTGTGGAATTTAAAACTTTAGCTATTTGAAAAGTTTTACTTCTCATTTATGATTTGAAATCAGCAATTTTGTTTGATACACACAAAGATTGAATTAGGTGTCAAAAAAATTTATAACAACTTACGAGTAGGACACACCAACCAAATGAGTTAGACTTGGTATAGAAAAAATAATTTACTTTAATAAAAGTGAGACATCGATCGCAAATGTTTTTGTTAATAAAAAACACTAATAAAATTTTTATTATATATAATATTATTTTTATTCATATTTATTTTTA